GGCGGGGGGCGGGGCTGGGAAAGTTGAGTTTCAGGCGCGGAGGGCTGGGCTCCGCGCAGAGTGCGGCCAACGGGGACCGTAAAAGGCTGGAGCGCGCGGGTAGGTGTGGCTTTGCGTTCGTGACCCGAGCCCGGGTCCCTGTCGCCGTCGTGTCCCGAGCTGCGGCCTCTCAGCCATGGGCGCCGTCTGGTCCGCCCTGCTGGTCGGAGGAGGTCTGGCCGGAGCGCTGTTCATCTGGCTGCTGCGCGACAAGGGAAAGAAGGGGGACGCGGAGCGGGAGAAGGACGCCGCTCTGGGAAAGGCTGCGTCGGCCGGAGGCGATCAGAGTAGCGGCAGCGGACTGAGCCCGGGACCTTCCAGGCGGGAGCCGATCACCAAACCAGGTGCTGTCCCTTCCTCTCCGCGTCTCCAGGGCTCTGCCAAGGGCTCTGAAATTCGGAGGGAGGAACATGCCCACCTGGAGCATTCATTTCCAGGGACGAACTTTCCCACCCGGGCTAGGACCCTCCCCGCGCCCAGTAGTTCCCAGGCTGGTGCGCACGCACCGCACAGGTTTCTCGCCTTCTCCCGAAGCCCTGGGGATGCCCTGGCGGTTCCTCCTAGGACGGCGCCCCGCCTCGCCTCTGTCCCCAGGGACCGACCCTGAGGACCTGCCCTGTGCCTCTCGTGGGCCTGGGCTCTGCCCGGCGGCGCGAGGCGCAGTGCGGGCGGCTGCAGTGGCGGCGCCCCTCCCGGACTTCGGAAAGGAGTGCGGAGGTTTGGGGGACCCATGCAACCCTCTTCAACCTCTGATGGAGCAGGGACGTGTTCTCAGTCTCAATCCCATAGACTCAGGTCCTCCCACCCTCACGCCGCCGTGGAAGAGCTGGGCTTGGGAACACCCGCTGTGGGGCACCTCCCGCTATCTGGATGCTTCTGTCTGGAAAGCAAAGTTCAGGTTGGACTCTGGCCACGAAGGCTCTGCGGGCCCTCCCCCACGCTCACCACAACAGCGCAGGGCTGCCTAACCCCGGGGGAAAGGACTTAAACAGGATACTGAATAGGGGACTCCGATGAGTAGAATGGCCATGCAGGGTTAAATCTCTACATTTTGGAAAGGGCATGCCAGGCGAAGTAGGAGCACTGGCAGAGACCTTACTTTCCAGTGTCTCCTGGGCAAGTCGCCATTGCCTCTCCAGCCTGCCAGTGATAACATCTGTGAACTTGAAGGTCTGCCCCTGTGCCTTTCCTGCCATTGGTTTGGGTGAGCAGAGAGCTCATTTTCCTTTATCTGATCCTATGTTTCAGGTTGAAAGATTCGGGGGGTTCGGAGTAATATTTGTTTCTGTCTTACTTCCAATCCCACCATTATAGAGAAAATTAAAGACTACTTTCCCTCACATCCTTCCATATCCCTCAAAAAACCCCATCTGTGCCCTGGCCGGTGTGGTTCAGTTGGTTTGGTTTTGTCCAGTGCACCGAAAGGTTGCTGGTTCAATTCTCAGTCAGGGCACATGTCTGGGTTGCAGGCTCCATCCCCATTGGGTCATGCAGGAGGCAGCTGGTTGATGCTCCACTCTCACATTGATGTTTCTCTCCCTCTCCCTTCTCTCTCTAAAAATCTTATTTTTAAAAATCTTAAAGCAGCCCTTGCTGGGTTGACTCAGTGGATAGAGTGTTGGCCTGCAGACTGAAGGGTCCCGGTTTTGATTCCAGTCAAGGGCACAAGCCAGGGTTGCAGGCTCAATCCCGATCCCCAGTTGGGGGTGTGCAGGAGGCAGCTAATCAATGATTCTCTCTCATCATTGATGTTTCTCTTTCTCTCCCTCTCCCTTCCTCTCTGAAATTAATAAAAATATATTTAAAAATAAAAATAAATCTTAAAACAAAATAACAACAACAACAACAAAACCCATCTGGATGATTGTATGACTGGAGATTTTGATCTTGTAGGGAACAATTTAGACTATCAAGGAGGTGACCAAGAAGGAAACTGAGTCTTTAAGAGAGCTTGGATTGTGTACTTTTAAGAACATTTTTTAAAGCATACAGTGTGAGGGGGTGTAAAAAGCCAATGGTTTGTTGAAGAGCTTCCTGATGGACATGGGGTTGGCAAGGAGAGAACAGCCCTCTTCTACCTCCTCTACCACCCTCCCCCCCAGCTCCTGCCCATGAGGCACTGCTGTCCTGTGTGTTCTCCCACGGGCAGCTGCCAGCATCTGTGAGCGCTGATCCCTGGGCTGCCCACAGTTCCTGAGAGCACGAGTGCACTCTGCGGGTTGTAGGGTAGCCATCCAGCCCTTCGCTCCACAGGCTGCACATCTTGATAACAGGAGCCAAACAACCTGACGTGGGTGCATGCCAGTATGGCCTGGAATGCAGAAGTTGAGGACTGTACTCTTCTGCCTGTACACTTGCCACTTCCTCGACATTCCTGGATATGCCTTTTATTGTTGGGCACACATGCATATTCTTAGCACACAGACCATATTGGGTCAGTGTCTGAGCTAGGTGATGAGGTACGGGATTTTAGTAGGGATAGATTTTGTGAACTGCAGATAGATGAGTGGTAAAATCTTCAATGACTAAACCTATTTCCTCAGCCCAGCTTCATTTCCTCTCATGAGAACTGACGGTTACATTCTGTCTTTATAGAGCATCTTCAAGAAAGCAATAGGTGTTTGGTTTCAGAGACCAAAGGCCCTGGCAGCGTGCAGGAAGCAGCGTGGAGACTGCAGAGTCCTCCTGGAGAACACGGTGACCATGACAATTCAAGACAGCATGCTCCTTTTGGATGGTTTCCGGACGCACAATCTGTAGCTACATCTGCGATCGAAGGCCACATAGAAGCTTCAGGCAGCGAAAGCCATGAATCTCTTATGGGAGAATGGGGATTCCAAAAAGGACAAGAGATGCCTGCTAACGCAGCTCCATGTTTGGCAGAGACACTGCCTTCTAGCATCCTGCTCGTGGACAGAGGTGAAGACGACGTGAGCCTTGCCCAGCTGGACAGACAGGACTCGGAGGACTGGGAGATGGTGTCCAGGCACTCGTCTTGGGGGGATATTGGCTTGGGTGGCAGTCTTGAGGCTCCGACATTAAGCCCGAACCAGGGAGCGGACTATGGCAGAAACAGCCTTGTGGAAGCAAGTGGTCAGGAAGCGGATGTTAAGACAAAAAGGAAAGTGATGACTTCAGAGTCTCAGCAAGTCAGTGTCAGGTTCCAGGTCCATTATGTCACCAGCACCAGGGCGCAGTTCGTTGCCATCACTGGAGACCATGAGAGGCTTGGGAGGTGGACCACTTACCTCCCCCTCCAGTACAGCCCGGGGGGGCTCTGGTCTCGTTCTGTCTCCCTGCCAGCAGATACAGTGGTCGAGTGGAAGTTTGTGGTGGTGGAGAAGGGGCAGGTTACTCGCTGGGAAGAATGCGGCAATAGGCTGCTGCAAGTTGGCCGCGAGGATACGTTGGTTCACAAGTGCTGGGGGATTCACTGATGCGGTTTGCAGGGGGTTGGAGAAACCGTTGCAGAATGTGGAAGGGGCTCAGGTTGTGGAGCACACTCAATAATCGGAAATAAAGGAGGTATAACTCCAAGTTTAGCCGAGTTGTTTCAGATTTGCTAGTGGCTTTTGTTTAATGGGCAGAAATATGTACGTGGATTATGCTTCCAGTGAATGTGGGCTTTTTCTGTGGCCGTGGTGGATGGATTATGCTGACCCATCAATACTATAGGGCTTGGTCCTCTAGGGGAGTGACGTGGCTAAGCTTGGTCAGGGAGCACAAAGGCTAACCAGCTGCACAGGGTTCAAGCTCGAGCCTTTGGGTGATCCTTAAAGCAGGGGAGCAAAACAAGTTGATGTCCTTGTGGTGCAGCTGGAGAAACGTGCTTTTTACTACATGTACTATACACTTTATGTTTAAAAATAGTTGCCACCATATGGAACTGTGAGCAGAAAACATCTGGTCAACTAGATGTGATTAGGAAGGTTATGAGATTTCCCATTGTTTTTGGCTTGATTTTACCTGCCTGGTATGGTTTGAAGGTAGGAAGTATGTCTTTGTCATGGGATCAAAGGCTAGTGTAGAAATAAGGGCCTAATCAGGTTTTATTTCCTCCCTAACTCCAGGGGAAAATCCCTACCTGGGGAAACAACCTTTCTCAGAGAGGTGACCTTGGTTAAAACTCATAGTGCTTAAGAAGGGGAGCAAACATATTAAGAACAGTATGCCATATACGCCAGGTCCCTTGAACCATAAGCTGTGCAGATGTTTCTTCCCTGCAGCGACTGTGTCAAGCAGCAAGGGTAGATCGGCTTCCGGCAAATTCCCCCATTTTTATTTTTTAAATGGCAGTGCGTGTATATCAGTGGCCACCTCTCAGATTGGGTTAAGTCTCAGAAGAAGACTTA